ATGACAGGCTCATTTGGTCCACAAAGCAGGAGGTCATCTACATATTGTAGCAAAGTAGCTTGCGGATATTGCCACTCTACCAAGTCTTGGGTTAGAGCTAACCCAGAGAGGTGGGGACTGTCTCTGAATCCCTGGGGGAGGACAGTCCAAGTGACCTGTCCAGACTTTCTTGTGGGGTCCTCAAAGGCAAAGATAGGTTGACTTTTAGGGTGTAAGGGAATGCAAAAGAAGGCATCCTTTAAATCCAGGACAGAGTAGTAAGCTGTACCTGGAGGTATTTGGGCTAAAAGCTTGTAGGGATTTGGAACTACAGGGTGGAGAGGCACTACAGCTTCATTGATCAGGTGAGATCCTGGACTAGCCTCCATTTGTTAGGTCCCGTCCTGACACCAAGAGTAGGAATACTATATGGGTTGGAGCATTCTATTAGCAGTCCCTGTCTCTTTAAGTCTTTGATTATGGGAATTAGCCCCTCCTTAACTTCTGGCTTTAAAGGATATTGTTTTTGATGGGGAAACCAAGAGGGGTCCTTGAGATGAATTAGGACTGGGACAGCTGTTTATGCCTGTCCCACAGTGTGTCCACCTGTCCACACTGTAGGGTCTATTTGTTCCTCTATTAGGGGCAAGCAAAAGTACTCTCCTGGGGGTAAAAGGAGCTGTACTCCCAATTTAGATAGAAGATCTCACCCTAGCAGAGGAGTAGGAGTTTATGGGACAATTTAAAAAGAGTGACAGAAATGGAAGTCTCCTCAGAGCAAGTTAAAGGCTGAGTGAAATAACGGTCTAGAGGCTGGCCTGATATCCTTCAAACAGTAGTTTTCTTGGAGGACCTGGGTCCGAGAGAGAAAAGAATAGCTGAGATGCTGGCTCAATATCAATATGGAGGCTGACCCTGTGCTTTCCAATCATGAGTAAAACCCGGGGCTCCCCTGCTTTTATGGTGGTCACAGGAGCCTGGATGGGAGGTCCCGGGACCTGTCATTGGGTGGGAGGCTCTGGCTTTGGTTCTCCTGGAACTGGAGACAGTGTGCTTTCCAATGTTTTCCCTGACAAATGGGGCAGGGTCCCATAGGTAGCTTTCTCTGGGGGCCCTCCCTCTTAAAATGGCCTGCCTGTCCACATTGAAAGCATGTCCTCAGGCTTGGACTTTGCCCCAGGGAAGCCTCTCTGAGCACTGTGATCAGAGCCTCCTGCCACTTATCCTTTTGCTTTTCCTTTTCCAGGTCCTTCTTTTCTTTTTCTAAGGCTCTGTTATAGTATACAGATGTGGCTACATGGACCAATTGATCCATATCTTGCTCCCTTTAGCCACCAGCTTCTGAAGCTTTTTATGGATATATGGTGCTGACTGTGTTAGAAATTTATCTTTTAGGATGATTTCCTCTTCCTGTGACTCAGGTATAATGTTGGTATGCTTTTATAAAGCATCCTTAAGTCTCTGTAGGAAAGCTACTGGAGTTTCTAAGGGTCCTTGCTGTACAGCCGTGACTTGGGAGTAATTAAGAGGTTTTACCTTGGCTTTACTTAGACCCTCAAGAATGCAGTGGATGAAATGGTTACGACTCCATTCATCCTTGTCATTTTCAGGGTCTCACTTAGAGTCATACCTAGGCACTGCCTGATCTCCTTTTGGAATTGGGAATTGAGGTTCCCTTTTAGGTATCCAGTGTCTTTGTCTTTCTTCTCCTTTCTCCTCCTCCGTCTGTGAGGGCCCAGTCTGAGACAGGCCTATAGGGCCACTTTTATCTAAATGATAATTGTCTCCAGCTGTGACTGCCTGATCTAGTACCTGCTGTTTCTCCAGAGAAGTAAGAGTCTGAGATAGCAATAGCATTACATCTTTCCAGCTCAGTTCAAAGTTTTGGCTGACTTCTCTAAATTTCTGGATGTACTGATCTCAGTTTTCTGTGTAATTTCCTAAATCCTTTTTTATTTCTTTAAGTTCACTCATTCTAAAAGGAACATGAGCCCTATCCCCTGCAGGAATTGACTGAAGGGGGTAGAGTCCTGTGGGACGATGTCTGGTGTGTGAGGTAGCTGGGTAAGGGGGAAGAAGAGGAGCTGACAGAGCATTAGATGGTTTTTTTGGTTCAAGGGAGTTTGGGGGCTTTTTGCAAAGGGTTACCATGATCTGGGTATCTAGCCTGCATTTGCTCAGCCATTCTGAGTGGTCTCTTAGGAAAAAGAACAGTGGAACATATGGAACTTTGGTCCACTTTCCCTCCTTTTTACAGAACATATCTAATTGAAGAATGGTATTATAATTAATGCTTCCTCCTTCTGGCCATTTTTCCTCATCTCCCAGAGGATACTGTGGCCAAGCCTGGGTGCAATAAAACTTAAGTTGCTTTTTCTGAAGACTTTCTGGATCAAGATCTTTCCAATGTTTTAATAAGCAGTCAAGAGGGGATCCTTCAAGGATCCTTGAAGCTTGATTCCCCATCTAAAAAAGGGAAACAAGGAAAAATCGGTCACCTTAACAGAGGTTTCTCCTTTTATCTAGACATCCCCAGATGAATGCCAGACACTCATGGTCATATTCCTAGGCAGTCTTTCCCAGTTTGGCACAACCTATACCGACCTCAGGTGATGGCTGGCCCCTTTGTGGTCGCCAAATATAATGCACAGATGACACATGCACAAATTTCAGGTGCTAAGGGTTCTTGAGCCTGCTCTGAGAATGAAAGCACAGACAGACTCTAACAGCAGAGGTCAGAAAGATTTTATTTGTAGAGAATTTATTTGTAGAGACAAGATGAGAAAGACTGCATATTGGGGAATGCAGGGGGACCCGGAAACTGGTGATCCCATGGGTCAGGGTGGGGAGTAAGTTTTATAGCCTTTTTTTGCATTGCCTGGGGGCAGAGATGCCTTTTAGATGCAAACGGGCATTTCCTAGGGAAGAGAAGTGTCTCCTTGACCTCCCATGGTCTATCCTTCATCACATTAAGATAATGGTCTCCAGTTCCATCTATTTACCTACAAATGACAAAATTTCATTCTTTTTCATGGCTGAATGAAATTCCATTGTATATAAATACCACATTTTGTTAATCTTCATCAGTAGTGGGGCATCTTGGCTGTTTCCATAGCTTAACTACTGTGATAATGCTACAATAAACATGGGTGTGCTGGTGTCGTTATTGTAACCTGACTTACATTCCTTTGGGTATGTCCCTCAGAGTGGTATGGCTGGATCATATGATAGTTCTATTTATAGTTTTTTGAGGAATTTCCATACTGTTTTCCATAGTGGTTGTACTAATATATGTTCCCACCAACAGTGTAGGAGAGTTCCTTTTCCCCCACATCCTTTCCAACATTTGTTGTTTGTGTTCTTGATTATAACCATTCTAACAGGATGATAACAGAATTATCATCCTGTTAGAGTGAGTACAATCTTAAAGTGGTTTTGATTTGCATTTCCTCTATGGCCAGGGATGTTGACCATTTCTTCATGTGTTTTTTGGTCATTTGTACTTCTTCCTTTAAAATGCTCTGCTCAGTTTATTTGCCCTTTTCCTCATTGGGTCATTGATTTTTTGAGAGTTTAGTTTTCTGAGCTCCCACACAGTCCCTCTTCTTTGCTCCTCTAGCCTGGGAAAAATGTGACTTCCTACTGTATTAATATCCACAATGTGTTTCAACCCACATTTAGTCTCTCAGATCTTCAATCACCATAGTAATCAATATCCTATATTAAATTTTTCTTTTGAAAAACCTTGAATGGTTTCTGTTTTCTCAATGAATCTTGACTGTTACACTAGGTAAATATTTTCAAAGGCAAAAGAATATATAATTTAAATAAAGTTTCTGCCTTGAAAGCAAAGGAAATAATCAGGAAGAGTTTTAGTTATACTTTGGGCTTTAATGAAAAGTCAAAATTGGAGCTAAGAAATTAGCATTAGCCGAAAGAAGATAAAGATTGAACAGATACCTACTTGTTTGCAGAAGAGAAAGTCACAGAATTCCCTCTTAAATGCTGTCTATTGTAATTGGAATATGTGATGCCAGATGGGAAGCATAGAAGTAAATACCTAGGGATGTAGAGCCCAGGATCTTCTGAAGTTGGAGTAGGGCACACAGTACTATAAACAAGTTTGCATTAAAACAGGCAGAGTTTACTTCTAACCAAAGTCCACTCTACAACTCAATGCTTTTAGTACGTTAGGGAACATTAGGGAATTCTGGAAAATACACATCACAATATATGGCAATATATATTGTGAGACATTCATCATAATGAATTCATAATTCATCATATATGAATGTGAGACATTCATCAAAAGAAATCAGGATAACAACATTAGCTCCTCCCCTACTCCTCCCACACACAGAGAAATGCAAATCATTTTAATTCTTCATTTCCTGGAAAAAAAGTAGTAATGCTTACCACTTTGAGGGTGGAGAAATTAAATAAAATTCTAAGCAAGTAAAAATCAGAAAGGTGAAATGATGTGTCTTTTTCTGAGAATTTTATTTCTTATAAATTCCCCACTTTTTTGAGGGGAAGTGGTCTGGATTTCTGAGAGTAAAAAAAGAAATCAAAGATTGAATATTAAATGCTATCTTATGTTACAATATTTGTTAACAATAAACTAAAAATGACCTTCAAAATCTAATTTAGACTTTATTAAATATTGAATTATAAAGGTTGCTTTATGTGATAGATTGTGAGTATAACTTTTGGCTCTCATAAAGATGTTTTTATTGAACTATATTTAAAAGATTAAATTTTGAAAAAATATTTTTATTAAATTTACTGATGAATTAAAATGAAATGTCAGTATATTACTGTGTGTAAAGAATGTACATGTTTTTGTATATTGTTTTATTCACTATAATATTTTTCAGGTTGTGAGAATGGCTTTTACAGTGTGTCAAAGAATATCTATATTCAATATTTTGAATGAAAGCATTAACTTTTATATCTATAACAAAAGAAACATTTGTTGCTAAGTTAACATTAATATGACTTCACATAAATTTATATTTCAGGCTACTTTCCTAGATTTTGACTGGAGGAATGCTTTTAAAATACTATCTCTTCCCATTGCACACTACATAACAACAACAGTTGAAGATTTTTCCACAAAAATTCTCCAACAGGAACAGAATGAAAGGTCTTCAGCTATAAGCTATGCGATGACTCTTGTAAATGCCCAGCACGATTGGCAAGATTGTCACTTGTTTCCTAATGAGGAACAACCAAAGAAAATCGCAAAGGCAAGTATGAAATGAAATCCTTTCAAACTGGGAATGGCTATGGTGGGATTTCTTTTTTTTTGTTTTTTGTTTTCTTTCTTTCTTTTTTTAATATAAGGTGTTGTAAGAATAACCTATAGATCAAATGGCAGAGTCTGTTGGCAAATACTTGGTACTTGACTGAGTTCCAGTTTTATTCTCTGGTGTTCATGACCCAGTGGTAACTCTTGTTAGCTTGTTGCCCCCTTAATCTGAGGTGACCAAAAAGAGACCTCTGTGACATCAAGAGGTTAAGCTGGGAAAAGTACCTTCTTAGTTATACTGTGGAATGATTCCAGAAGAAATTTAGGAGATTAAAGAAGAGACTGTCTTCTCTTTATTTATACCAAATGAGCATTCTAGGACATTAGCATCAGTCTTACCTCTTTGCTTCTGCTTTGAAAGTCATAGAACATACTGAGAAAATAGGAATTAGACAAATACAGTTCCTCAGCATTAAATGCACAATGATTTCAGCAACCTATGGTGGAGATGTTTTTGAAGAGTTCTTGAGGATGGCTTCATTCTGCTTCTGTCACCTTGGGTCTCCAGAGCCTTCCCTGGGGAACTCTGTCAGCTGATCTGATGTGAAGGCAGACCTCACCTTCCTACCTACCACCACCCCTGAAATTAGACTGAGAAAATACATAACAAGCAGTGAAAAGGCAGACACAGCACTCTTTACCAATAAAAAGGTGCTATATGACATTGTTTCTATTATTGCTTCTTGATTATTTAAATTAAACTGATATTTACATGTGGTATTTAATAAAAAAAACTTCTGTGGAAATTTAGCAAAAGAAAATTAAGGTAAATTCAAGAATATGTAAACATTAATATCAAGAATATTTATTTTTTATTTCTATTAACTACAAATAAATGTATTGTCTTTTAAAGCTGGTTCATGAGCTTTTCACAATGTCTGTCTGGTAAGCATAAGGTTTGAAGGTTATATATGGAAGGCATCATTTTGGCATTTCCTTATTTGACATAAAACATTTAACTTTCTACAACTGAGAAATTGATTATTATAAAGCTGCATCATTATATTTATGTTTGATGCCAAATTCATTATTTAGGAATTTGGCTCTACTGTACATAAATTACACGGTGCTGTCAGAATACAAATAACTCAGCACCACATTTATTTCTCCCCAGTTTTGTTCTGACATCATGGAAAAGCTTGACACAATGCTTCCACTGGCTCTGGCATGCAGAGATGATTCTTTTCAGGAAATTAGAGCAAACTTGGTGGAGGCCTGTTATAAAGTGGCAACAGCTGTCCTGGCAAGACTGCAAGAGAGAGGCAAGGAGGTTCCTTCCAAAGCACCCTTGAGAAACCTGCACATACTCCTCTCCACAGCGGTGTATATCTTCCAGCATTTCACACAGTATGATAATTTGATGAAAGAAACTACTAAGAAGTGAGTGTCACATAAATTAAGTTGGCCATGCTTTGAAGAAACATGTAATCTTTAGAAATCACAAGAGTAAAGTTTTGATGATAAGATTTGAGGAGCAAATAACAATTAGTGTGGTGAATTACTTTCATTTGTCTCAACTAGGAAATGTTTAAAGGGATATAGTAAAGTAGATATATCAAACTAGTATCAAAGGTAATCACTGAAGACACATTCAAAAGAGCAACTATATTCATCATCTTGTTAGACAAGACTAAATTTACCCCTTCCCTTTTGTAAGGCCTGTTATCCTGACCACACTAAAAAGGGAAAATAAGCTTGTTTTTGTCCCACGTATAAATATCTGTGGACTACTCATTTCTCTCTTCTATTTCTAAGCCAACAGACTGTTAGGAACTGCCATAATGAATAAATACATTTTAATCTATTCTAGTGACTAGTGTAAACATATTGCAGGACATTTATTTAGTAATAAACTATCCATAATATTTGAAAAGGAAGCATCTGCCAGTTTTAGTTCTCACGTATCAGTAATCTAAAAAATACAATATGTCTTCTGTATAAAGAAAAGTCACTGCAGGTATCATTGCATGTTTTTTCTGGTTAAATTTGTGCTCTCCAGATCTCAACATGACCCCTTGGAAAGGGTATGTGTGCTTAGCAGTCCAACATGACCCCAAGAATCTAGTCTATGTTCTTTATTCAGTTTTCACAGTCCTGTCGTAATGAAAGAAAGCATGGTGTTATATAAATAGCTGAAGCGGAAAGTGAAATAAATTTGGTTTGATGTAGGATACAGCTATGATATTTCTTTAATTCTCAGAAGTAGTCAGATGTTGTGATTCATACTTGAATTTATAAACAAAATGTGCTAAAAACCACTTTATTTCTGTAGAATATTTTAAAACAGTTTAGAAGATAATTGACATCTACAAAATTGCAATTTTTTAGGACAAAACATGTATTTGTGGGAAGTGTGATAGCTTTGTAAAAGTTGGTTCTGACAAGTGCATGTTGTTCTCTAGTAATTTTAATAACTAATGCCGAAATAAGGCACTGATCTGATAACAGGCTTACCAAGAATACTTTCAGTTTTGAATGATATATTGATAGTGCAGTGTATCTCAAGCTGAAGTGCATATTTGGAGAACAGCAGATGTATGTTTTCAAAGGACTTGCAAAACAAAGACCAGCTTTCCCCCCACCCCCCTTTTGGAAAGTGAATGTGGATGCAGATTTCAGCATTAGGAGGAAATGAATGATTGATATCTAATAATCAAAACCATTTGTAGTGCTGGAGATTGTTACCTCCTACTGCACAGCCCTTAAATCTCTGTCTCTTTGATCATTCCCTCTGAACAGACCCATATTCCTGGTGCCTGTCCAACGCTATCAGGAATTCATCAACACTCTACAGTTTCAGGTTACGGACTACTGCGTCAGACTTTGTGCTACAAGCATTTTACAGGATGGTGAGAGCCACCACTGGGATGACTACAAAGCTTTTTATGAGGTGTGAAGTTAAGTTTACTATCCCTCCTTTTTACACAAATATGTTTTACTGCCTACCTGCTTTCTGGCTAATTAGAAACATGAGCTTGGCATTACTAACACACAAAGGCTGTTAGGATAATATTTTTTAAATATTGAATTTGTACTTAGGAAAAACACTGTTTGTAAAAACCTGAAATAAATTAGACATCAGAACTCTCCTTCTGCTTAAAAGTAAAAATAACTTAATTTGAGCTGCAATGTTGAGGGGTATGTAAGTTGGCATTTAATGAGATATAATCAAAGCTCAGAGATAACAATACCAAAATGCTACAACCTTTGTATTTTTTTCCAAAGGGATCAGTTATGAGTATCCTTGCATTTTTTCTTGCTTTTTTGTTTCCGTCTGTTTTCAATAAGTACCTTTACTAAGGAGCTTTATTCTTTATATTTATTTTTTCCTCTTTGTTCTTATGAGTACACTGATCATTTATAGCTTACCTATTTTCAGTTAGCCCCTGTTTTGAAACTCCAAATTTCTACCAAATTAAAGCCTAATGATTTCCAGTGTGACCAATCCAAGCATCAATTAAATTACTTTTTATCAGGCTTCATTGGTTTCTCTTCCACTAAATCCCATAGATTACATATAGATTACAATATTTGAAAATCTTTGCTATTGATTCCCAAGAAGTATGATACAGTTATAATATCATAACAAAAGATATTTAAAGTTAAAAAATTAAATAGCAAAGTTCAACTTTCACCCTTTCCTAAGGAATAAAGTTTATGATTTTCATTTTTCTTGATTGTCCTAAACCCTATGGAGTGTTTAGAAAAACACAGTGGAGTGTTAAAGTGACTCTTGTCACCTTCCTGTTGCTGAAGGATCCTGTGGCTCAGTTTATGCCTGAGTCACCTTAATAAGTGTTCTATGACACAGAGGAGCAAGGAATAAGAAGCTCCTTTCAAGGACTTTCCACCTTTTCTAGGGCCATTTCATTTCTCCTTTAGAGGCCCTTCCCAGATAGCTTTTCTTTTTGCAAGAGCATCCAAATAGGGTTTTCCAAATCTGACATACTTCAAACAGCAGTGGTAGCAGTGAGCAAAATGAGAAAGAAAGTGGTGTGGTACAGCTGGTAGCCTGAGATAAGAATGAAAGTATTGGTCGTCCCCTGTCCTGGCAGCATTGCAGCATCCTCATTTGCCTTGAGGTAAACAGAGAGGTTGAAAATGAATCCATCTCATGCTTCAAACTATTTCAATATGTCGGGGTTCTAATGAACAATTTCATATGATGTTTTTAGTGAAGTATAGGTATCATCTCAGCATATGTTCAACAGAGGAATTTTGTTTCCTCTTATGCAAATTGAGAACAAGAGTAGTTGTGCAGTATAAATAATAAGTGGATGCATGGAGACCCTGCTATTGAAGTTACCAAGTATTAAAAGAAAAAAACAAATTACCATGTAACACACAGCTCTTAGATCTTATGACAAAGCTTTCGCTTCAAAGGCAGAAAGAAGGAGATAGTTACCCTGTGATTACATGGTACTATAGCTTCCATATACTTACATGGTCAGTAGTTAGGATTTAATTGCAGAGTTAGTAGATGTTATTTATGCTCAAAACAATAAAGTGATAATGCTTTTTCTATTTACCAAAAAAAAATCCTTCTAAAAATAGCACTGATTTTAAACTGTTTTGACAAGTGTTGTACCTGACATGGTTTCATCTCACTTATTGTACCCCTCTCTCCTCCTCTCACCATTATTCCAAGTCATTTCTGAAACAGAGTTAGCATGGTTTTGGCAAGCCTGTTTGAGAGAAAAGGAAATGATGCCTGCCTGACTGGAGGCAAAAGGTACGATAGAGATCTCAGGGGAACCTATCGCCATATGCAGAGCATAGTAGAAAAATAGCAAAAGAATTTACAAGATACGGAGCGGTATTCATTCATGTTTTGTGATAGCAAGTGAGCTCTAGATACATTATTTCCATTTTCTTAACTGTCAGGTTGTGAGAGTCAAAGAGTTGGGTATCTCTCTGATGAGGTACTGGTCAGATGGCACAGTGGGAGTTCAGGTTACATGTTTAAAATTAAGCTTTTAGTGTAGTTGACATCTGCTCAATTTTAGAACTTGTGTTTTCCAATAGTCAAAGAATAAAGAATTGTCTGTTCAAAGATAATATTGAGTGGCTTCTATAATAAAGCCCAGCTGCTTGTTTCCTGATATATAATCTAAATAAAAGCTCACATCTGTTTACATTATAGAGGGTCTGCAAAAATAACAGATGTTTACTAGCAGAATACTTTTGAAATGACAACAAGTAGGGAAACAGGTCAGAACAACAACAAAAAAAAGAATCACATTTAGTTTAATGAAAACCCTTGCACACATTGAAATTGTATGCATTTTAAACAGAATTGTTAGAACAAAGACCAGTTTGGAATATTTTTAAGTAAGCATGAAGTTTTTAAAAGTCTTTCTTAAATGAATATATTTTTAGGAGAAGAAATCTGTGCACCTAAAGTTGCTTTTATTTTCTTACATATTGCTAAAAGGTATTAAGGGAATTGGTTTTTCATGTTTGGAAAATATGAGAAATCTGTTAATCACATTACTTAAGCACCTATCCAATGCTACAGGGAAAATTAGGATAAATCATTCATACTAGTCACTGCATTCGCCAGGCTCAGTTTCTTTCATTTCCTTGCAACACATAAAGTTCAAAAGAATCAAGCTTTACAGTTCCTCATTTGGCCAGGTGCTGGTGGCTCACACCTGTAATCCTAGCTACTTGGGAGGCTGAGATCTGGAGGATCGCAGTTCAAGGCCAGCCCAGGCAAATAGTTCTCAAGACTCCATCTCCAAATGAACCAGAGCAAAATAGACCGGAGGTGTGGCTCAAGTGAGAAGCCCTGAGCTTCAGTGCCAGTCCCACCAAAGGGACTTAGTTCAAAAGGATTTTTAAAATCATAGAACACACTATAAAGCATAATAAGGTATAATTTTGCTGTTTTATTATTAATTTAATATATTTTTTCTTAAACAGTTTAGGTGTACATTTATTTAGGAAACCAGTACTCATAGTCTTCTTCAGCTTGAATTTGACTGACATTTTGATGCCTAAATTTCATATGCAAGGAATAATTCTACTCATTTATGAATTCTGTTTGAAAATCAATAGCAAACAACTATAAGGTATTATTATTTATGGTGATTATAAAAGATCTTAGTAATCAAAGAAACTGTCAGATGAACATATGAAGAAAATACATACAGTAGTATCTGCATAAGAGACTATTAACTTTTGGTTTAAGAGAATAGCAGATATTTTTAAGATAGCGCTTTCTGGAAAAATAAGAATACTTTTATAATAATAAAAGCAACAATTTTTTGTCAGAGTGGATTACCTAGAGATAAAAATAGGAAACTTTACTAGTTTAATTTGATCAGGATGATTGTGTTTGAAGAATGCATTCTCTTCATATTTCAAAAACATTTTTGGTCTGGGTTGAAGAAAATGAGGTCAAAGAGTCAACCTCTCCTAGACCATGTTACTTAATTAATGGTTACAAATCACTTGAGGCCACCTTCTCTTTTTTGCCTGTTACCCTTGGCTTGGGCCTTTGTTGGGTCTCCCTCTGCAGTTAGGAAAAATTTGGTACAGAGAAGAGATCTGTTCAGGGTGGAAAAGAATGAGAATCTGGCCCCTTGGAAGTACGAAGTGCCATAAAATGCTAAGAAATGATGACAGTATGTGCTTGGGCTTTACAGAATCTTGTAAAATGAGATTGCTGTGATATCTGTTGCTAGGGCAGTACTGATATTAAAACGTCATCTGTGAGAGCCTAAAGTAATGATCTTCAATAGTTCTGTATACCACTTGGCTTCCTGAATGTTGATAAGGTTATAGTGCATAAGTTTATTTTTACTCTGTCATTTTATTGTAGTATGAAACCTAACAGATTTATAAAATTACATCAATGATGCTTATAGTCTCAGAAAAATATACCTCCTTAAATAATTTAAGCAGATTTTAATTTTAGAAGAATGGGTCCATGATCTTAAACTGGCTAGCACCACTTGTTTAGCAACTGCAAAGCTGATTGTTTACAAGTCAATTTTAAACCCTAGGCCAGGAATAGGTAAACCAAAGATAGGCTACGTTAAATGCTTGTGGTCTGAATTTGCACTAGAATATCTGATCTCATAATTGAAATAAAACATATGTTCCTTTGTCAATAAAGATGTTTAACATCTTGTCAAAAATCTCTCTTGGTTATCTAGTGTGTCAGAATATCCAGCTATTTCCTCAGACTGAACTAATTAGGTTTACAGGAAGCAAACTGACCTTTTGGAAGATGGATTCTATTGTTTAACATGTGATGGTTTTGCCAGGGGGAAAGATGTTCCTTCTCACTCCAGATGTGGCATTATTTCTACTGGACTCTTCATCATGATCTCTGGACCATACTGCCCCCAAAGTTAGCCCAGGAGATTCTGGCAGAAGTGCTGGAGAAATCTTTGGGTCTACTGGCCTCCAGATATGCTCGGGCCCATCCCAGTTATAAGAGAACTCCACAGATAAGGTAATTGAAGTTCTGAAACTATTGCTATTCAAGAAAATTTTTTCATCAGTTGGTAAAAGCAGAATGTAATTCTGAATCTCATGACAAAACTCCTTGTATACTTAACATGTTTCTAACATCTGAAAGGAAATCGGATTCAATTCACCTGAGGTATTTTAGTGGAAATGTGGAACTTGAATCAAAATAACTTTGTTCTTTTTTTCTTCTTAAAATTGTATATAGACCCCATTTGTTTCTATGAAATGATTCAAGATGTCTTGTAATCTAGGACACATATACACAAAGGTTAATAAGATAAAGAGAGAAAATTAAGGTCCTGAAATGGAGAAAAAAGCAACCATGCTGTGATGGAGCAGTTAATTTGACTTTGAGCTTCTAGGCAACCAAGGGATTTTAGGGGTTTTTTTTAGCCTTTAAAGGAAACTGCTTTGTCTAATCATTTTTGTTTTTAATATATTCTGATTCCCTGTTTCTGCTTTTTCTTTCTTTTCTTTTCTTTTACTAAAAGCCAGTTTAAGAAAATGTGAAATCACCAAATGAGGAACAACAGTCTCTAGGTTTTAAATAGAAGACTGAATGACAGTGCAATTGCATGAGTTATTTAGGCAATGGATATTATACAAATGGACTTACATGACAACAATGATCTATATGAGGAGAGGGTTTTTGTTTTATAAATACTTTGTCTAATGTGATTAAAACCTGTCTTTTAGGCAGAAAACAGTTTTTCAGATATATTTTAGGAAGACTCTACAGACATGAGACTTGGTTTTTCTTTTTCTTTCTTTTTTCTTTTTTCCCTTTTGGCAGGAAGAATCATTTCCTGATCATGTTCTTGTAAAGAATGCTGCAATTTGAAGGGCATTTAGGTCCTGCTGCAGTGTTTCATAAATACGGTATTTTGCACAGGCTGGTTTGAATTACTGATCAAGCTGTTTTAAAGAACTGAACTCTGAAGAATAGATGGAAAATTCTTTTTCAGAGCAAAGAATACCTTCATTCTTTTTCTTATGGAGCATAAGTCACTTTTGACTATGAAGTGGCACTCATATACATATTTCTGAAATCAGATTTACTCTTAGCACATGAAATAGGCAGTATATTCCATTAATAAACTGTACTATAGAGACTTTTGGTTTTTATTTTCTATATGGCTGCGCAAAACTGCCATGCAAAGCTAGTATTATTGCTTCTATTTTTATAAACAAAATATATAAGTATTTTTATATGAATGATTAATCTTAAACCATAATTATTGTGGAAATCAGATTATGTGTATATGTTTTGGAATAATAGTTGTTAATTTAATGATTACAAAAAGTGAATGAAAACTAAAATTAAACCATTCTGAAGGTGATGATTGATGCTTTTTAGTATTCTAGTAGCCTCTATATGTCATTTAGCCACATGTGTGTTATAGATTATCTATATATACAAATTTATTATACATGTACATTTAAGACCTGTTACTTAAAAATCTCCCCAAACTTATTTTTCTCATCACTTTTAAATTTCCATCTTGTATTTCTTTAATTCTAAATTTAAGTGAAAAAAAGAGAGAAAATTAATGGAGGCCAGTTCACTTTAGTCATATATCAAAAAATGTTTAAACATATTCTTGAGATCCTATTAGAACTCAAGAAATGGGGAAAGAGAAGGAGAGAGAGCACAGCTTACGAGTACAGGATTGCAGCTGAGAGGAGGAATACATTTTGATATTCCGTAGCACATTTAGATAGCCATGGTTAGCAAAAAATAATTGAATATTTCAAGATAATTAGTAATTTTGAATGTTCTTGACACAAAGAAATGATATGTATGTAGGGTGATAGGCCAGTTATCCTGATTTGATCACTATACATTGTATTCATGTGTCAAAAAATCATACTGCATCCCATATATATATATATACATATATATGTATATACTGTGTCAATTAAAAAAATATACTTTAAATTATAAAAATAAAAAACTCATGAAAAATGGAAACAAAGAAGTGAGTTTATGAATAAGATAAGTAATATACCACATTTTCCACAAGCTTACTTAACCTTAGAAATTTCTGAAACTAGCAGTATCACCATTGGGGATTCTGTTGTCCCTTCTTCTTATATCCCATTTGCTGAGAGAACGTATTACCCAACACTGTGACTTCCTTTCGACAGCTTATACATGGATGAGGAGGAGCATTTTCTATGAAATTTAACCTTGCATGTATATGTATACATATGCTATTACACACACACACACACACACACACATATATATATGCATGCTGTATGCATCTTTGTATGTGTAATAGCAAAGTTTTCTTTCCAAATAGCTTCTCTTTGAGTTTCTAGAATAGAATCCTGATAATGTGAAGGAAACATCGAAAGCATGCATTGGTAGAACACTATGACGGACCTCACCATCCCTAAAGATAAGGTATTATGGGTCATCTAGCACCTGGAAACTCAGAAGATGTGTTTGATGCTTTCTGGTTTGATCTAACCAAATCTTACATATGCTTAGTACAGAGATATGGGTGAAAGTGTACGAGCCAAACAGAAAGATTATTTTGTTTAACATGATTTTTTTTTCTTTCCAATAGACTCGATGTCACAACAATTTTAATATGTACTGAGAACATGCTATGGTCAGTTTGTACATCTGTACAGGAACTTTTGAATCCTCATATGTATAAAGATAATAAAATTTTAAAAATTCATACCCATTGTAATAATCTATTTACGACATTAGTCATTCTGACTTCACCGCTAACAGAATTATATAAGTAAGTATCAAATGTATTTTATTTTTAGCTATGACAATATAATGTATTTAATGAAGTTGTTTTCATGACCCTTGATGAATTAAGTACCAAGTAGAATTTTTTGGAAGTGCATTTTAATATTGTGACATTTTATAAAACTAACACACACCAACAGGGGTTTCTAACTTCCCAAAGCAATGTGGAATGCCCCAGATATACTATGTCACTATTGGTCAATCCCATTCTGTTGATAAGGTTCCAGCAGAATCAGGAATATTTTAAGCTTCACTTTTTGAGATATATGAGCAAAGTATTTTAATGGATTTGTAGTCTTAGGGTTGTGTTTTGTTTTTTTTGGCAGGGAGGGTGGGACTAAAGTTTGAACTCAGGGCTTTGCACTAACAAAGCAGACATTCTACTGCTTGAGCCACACATCCAGTCCTGTGTTTTAATGTTTTAAAATAATATATGTTATAGTAAATACTCTGACCATGCACCATATAAACAGTTGGCTTCTGATATGGCAATTTATGTTTACTGTGAGCATTTTTCACTATGTCTGCATGTTAGAATACATTCTTAAACAGACGGCTCCTTATTAATGATGAATACAAACCTAGAATTATTTTAGTTCCTCATTTTAGTTTATCCTCCAATATATTTGGAGGTGAAAAAACAAACAAAATAAAAGAGTATTGATCACATTTTTGTATACTTCTGTATAAAAGATTCAAAGTATATATTATAATCATTCTGAGTGATATGTCATGAAAAACTGCATGAGCGATTTGAATCTTAAGATTAGAATTTGAGCATATTTCATGTCACATTGTCATTAACAAGCAACTGGTAGTAGTAGCTACCATGTGTTAGATACAAAAGGTACGCCCATCATTGTGCTGGGTACTTTATAGACACTTACATAATCACAGCATCTCTTGCAATGGAAACATCTCTATATCATATCATATATCAAAAAAATTATGGTCAGCAAATTAAGAAACTTAGTCCTGCCATGAAATACAGTCAGGGAAAAGCAATTTGCTAAAAGAATTTCTGTTTAATTACACCTAATATACCAAATATACTAGTTTTTGTTTATATTTTAGCAGTTTGTCCCTTCCATAATTTGTATTTTTAGTATGCATTTCATTATTTCATCTCTATTTCAGACTACAAATTATTACTTCTTTCATTATCAGAAAAATGATGGAATGTCATGCCTTTAAGGATGAGTTTTGTATTAAGATTGACTAGTTTAAATCCTAGCAACATCATTTAGAGCTGTGTGACTTGGGATAAATTACAATTCCTTTCTGTTCCTCAAGTTCATTATCATTAAAATGGAAAGAAATAATAACATCTGTGTCTTGCTATTGATGTGAGAAGTTAATGCATGCAAAGTATTTTAGACAAGAAATGCCAAATAGTGCTCAATAATTGTTCATATGTTGATGTTATAAAATGGTGTGCTTCCAGCAATCATCTCTAAATATTATTTTTAATGTTGTCTGAACTGGAAATCCATACTTTGTGTAACTTTGTCTGTTACACCGGGTATTAATCTCTGGATTTTGCAAGATCTGTTTTTGTGACTATGGAGATATTTTATTTATTTCTGTGTTTCTCAGTGTTTAAATAAATGAAAATGACAAATTTACATGTCAAAAAATATTTTTTAGTTTTTAATTTTATATATTGCAATTTGCTCTAATAAAATATTTTTTAGTTTTTAATTTTATATATTGCAATTTGCTCTAATAAAAATCTTTTTTAAAAAAATGGTGCTAAAATATGCCCAATTCTGAAAGAAACATAATCACTACACACTTTCATTAAACCTGCCATAGATTTGCACTTTCACCATTTAGGTTTTAATGTCTCAATTAGTAAAGACAAGTGGAAACAGATATAAGTGATCACATTTGAAAAAAATGTTAAAATATTTGACAGGTAAATAAGAGAGAAATCTAAAATTTTTGACATATTGATTTCTAGTTAATTTGGTTCAAATTAACTAAATGTTATAGAAATTGGGATGGGTCTTATAATTAAAACATTAATATAATTTCATTTTATACCTCTCCAAACTTGTCACTTTTATATTGAAAGGCTAAATAATTTTAGATTCTTAGTTTATTGGGTAATAATAATTTCACATAATATTTCTATTTCTTAGGCTAAAATGTTCCTTTCTTTAGCATTCTGGTAAGGGTGATATTCAAAATTTTATTTTCGGTAAATTTAAGACTTTTGTGTTAGGTATTCTAGGAGTAATTAACATAATTAACAACCTTGATTTCAGTTTCCCTGTAACTTTCACCTATTCTTTGACTTTCAACAACCCATCTTTTTTTTTTCAGGTTATTCCTTCTAACAACTCAAGTTCAGAACTAATTTTAGAAATGGAAAAATTCTTTCAGAAAGGGGAAGAAACAGTGAGATGAATCACCATAAGGCTGAGATTATATACATAGTTGTTCATAATTGTAAAAAGCTTAAATCTGAAGCCCACAATAAATCCTAGGAAATTAAACTAAGTGACCATAGATGAAAAAAGTGCTATGCTCTCAGTTCAATGGGTCACTTCATCTAAAAGGAAGGCCCTGTGAAAATCAGGAACAAAGTTTTCAAATTTCATGGGTTGGTCATGGGGAGCAATATTGAATTTCATGGTTTGTCACAGATGAATTGAAAAATGTTAACCCCCAGTGCATTTGTAAAACAAATAAATTATCACAGATTGCATATTTTAATAACAATAATGTAACATACATTCATTATTATTAACCTATGGCCTTTTGAAACTTTTAAAGCAACTATGCAAGTACTCAAATCTCTGATTTGTGCTTTAGATATTGCACTGTAACCTCATTTGACAAATTTAAGTTGCTAATTTCAGCCAGGATTACAGAACATTTTACACCAAGCACTACCTCTTGTTTTTCTTAATACACAACATAGATAATGTGAGCAAGCACAGGCATGAGTAATAGTCTAAATATACTTTCATCTTTTAAAATATTTTTTCAAATTAAAAAACATTCACAAATTTTATCCTTCCACCTTGATTGAAATTTTATTATTGTTTTCCTGGAAGTTAAGTTGCTTTCTGTTGAGGAAGGAAATCTACAGGGCAGTGTGTTCCTTCCCAACTAGGGAGAAACGCATGTGTTTTGTGAGAACTGTATTGACTTACCAAGCTTCACTTCACAGCTGGGATATGAGGTTGTCATATTATTAGCATTTTAGAAAAAAATTGTCTCTATTTCATGTTAAAAAATTAAACCATATGCTTGAGGAACTGGTGAAAAGTAACAATCGGATGTTGATAGCATCGAATTTTTATAAACCATTCCTGCCATTTGTCACTCTATGTGATATGCCTTTTTAGAAGGTGACTGCTTTTGTTTCAAGTAGTTGTGACAGATAAACGGAATGTGTTTTCCATTCTGAGCTGAGTGTAGAACCACTGAATCCCAGGGCAGGAATACATGATTTTAAAATCTTTTCACAAAGAATGGAACCTGTTTTGTGAAACACACAAAAATGAGTGTTCTTTTTTTTTAACTTGCCTTTGTAGATTTCTGGTAGAATGTTGTAAAAGGAGTACTTTAGATTTGTCCTCCAGGGAGAGACCTGCTGAAATATAAAATATTCACCAGGTATTTTCCAAAATGCTATCACTTGTAGTTTTTTGTAAAGGCAGTTAATGTGTATACTGGCATGCACGTTTACACACAATGGTTTCTTAAGCTGCATTTTGCTTGTGTAGACTTTTAGCTTTAGTTCCTACTTGGCAATTTAAAAATTAATTCCTAAAGTAGTTAGGGGTGTGGCTCTGTGGTATGTGTGAAGCTCTGGGTTCAATCCCCAGGTTCTCTCCTCTGCCCCCAGAAAATCTTGGCTCTCAGAATTTTATGTAAATACAATTTGATTTTGATTCAAAAACATTGTTGCCTCCTATGATTAAGCACAAGGGATCTAACAGTAAGCCAGATGTTAAGCTGTCTCCAAGAAATTTAGGAAAGTCTGATAGAAATTTTAATATTAAAACTAAATAGTAAACATATAGTCTCAAAATGTTTTGATGCACCATATCAAATCTCTTAAACGTAGAAACTTTGAAAGCTGACTATCCCAACATTTAATAGTATAGAAAAGTGAGATTGCAGTGCAAGTGCCAACCTACCAAAAGTCTAGAATCATCAGAAAAAAAGTGCAGTGTTGCTCACTAAGCCAAGGAGTGGAGACTTATGTTGGGGTCCACTTGCAATAACTCACAAGGCTTATGAGGGTCACTAAACTCCAGGGTCTTCAAACTGCTATGTCTATAGTGCAGTTTGGAAACCAAACTAATGTTGAATCATTTGAGACTATGGCCTTAGCTTATTTTTTTAAGTTCACTGTTTCTCAGAAAACAAAATATTTGCAATTAAACCTTGACTTTTCATATCTCAGGAATGGCTGATGCCACTCAGAAAGCAGGCAGTTCCTCAAAATGTCAAGTATACAGTTCGTTTATGTCAAATGTTGAACGGATGGTTTTATGACCCAGCAATAAAAGCACATGTCCACACAAAGACTTATACAGGAATGTTCATAGCAGCATTTTTCATGATGGTACCAAGTGGAAGCAACTCGAATGTCCATCAGTGGGCATTTGAATGAACAAACAAAACATGACATATGTGTAGAATGAAATATTATTTAACAATGATAATGAATGACTTATTGAAACATGCTACAACAGGAATGATCCTCAAAAACATTATGCTAAGTGAAAGAAGACCAAAGAGAACATATATGTTTATTACCTTCATTAGAAATATCCAGAGTAGGCAAATCCATACAGACAGAAAGTGTATTACTGGTTGCTAGGGACTGAGAGGAGAGGGAAACCAGGACTGCTAATGGGTACAGAGTTACTTTTAGTGATATGAAATGCTCCAAAATTAGATAGTGATGAAGGTTATGCAACCCTGTGAATATAGCAGAAACCATTTAATTGTACATTTTAA